GCGTGCTAAGTCACTTCAGTCACGTCGGACCTCTTTGCCACCCTATTGTAGCCTGCCAGGCTCCTCTGTCCATGGGATTCTCCAGACGAGAATACTGGAGTGGGTTGTTATGCCCTCCTCCAGGGGATCTTTCCAACCCAGGGATCAAACCTGAGTCTCCTGCAATAGCAGGCGATCCTTCACCACTACCACCACCTGGGAAGCAAGCACAGATAACATAGTAATCTTCCAAGTTTACAGAAATAGAGTGTTAAGATAACATGTTTCTAAATGTTATTTCACATAATTAGATATTTATTAAAGGTTCAACATAACTACATCACTTCATTTTAAAAAGGATTTGAGGAAGCTTGTTAGTTACTAATAAGAACTATAAACTTGACACTGAGCTTCCTAGGAACCAATCTGAAAAGTAATTCACTTTATCCATAAGTTGGAAATGACTTAGCAACTAAACAACAACAGGAAGCAGCACACCACCTGTTCCCAACTTTCATTCCTAGTCAGAAAATTAGAAATGGTTAACAAGAGAATTATTCAGAACCTCTATATTCATCAGTTCCATTCCTCGTTAACATTTTCTAGATAAAAATGAAGAAGGGAGGGTGGGAAATGGATTTTGGCATAACATCTCTTTCTTTGGTGACAACTACTTCCTGGGAATGTCACATCACTGTTTACTTGAACTTTATGTTAAAGACGAATACTTTTCTTTTTTAAAAAATTCATTTATTTGTTTTACTTTACAATATTGTATTGGTTTTGCCATACATTGACTTGAATCCACCATGGATGTACATGTGTTCCCCATCTTGAACAACCCTTCCACCTCCCTCCCCATCCCATCCCTCTGGGTCATCCCTGAGCACCAGCCCCAAGCACCCTGTCTCATGCATCGAACCTGGACTGGCGATTCGTTTCATATATGAAAATTTACATGCTTCAATACATCTGTGTCTCTTTTGCTGTCTCACATATAGGGTTATTGTTACCATCTTTCTAAATTCCATATATATGCATTAGTATACTGTATTGGTGTTTTTCTTTCTGACTTACTTCACTCTGTACAATAGGCTCCAGTTTCATCCACCTCATTAGAACTGATTCAAATTCTTTGAACTTAGAACTGATTCTTTTTAATGGCTGAGTAATATTCCATTGTGTATATGTACCACAGCTTTTTTATCCATTCATCTGCTGATGGACATCTAGGTTGCTTCATGTCCTGGCAATTATAAATGGGCTGCGATGAACACTGGGGTACATGTCTCTTTCAATTCTGGTTTCCTCTGTGTGTATGCCCAGCAGTGGGATTGCTGGGTAAAGACTCATATTTAAACTATATAAACTATATGTCACTCAGAATCTTTTAACACTTCTATCGTGTGCTTCTATGCTGATATAATAAATGACTGTAAAAATGACTAATAATTTTTAATCCTTAAGCCATATAATGAGCAATATTATACTATATTTATGAGCAATATCCAATTCTATACAAATTTCCATTTCAACAACTTTGGATAGTCTCTGAAATTGATTTAAAAACCACCAACATTCTATTCTTTGTATCCATGGCCTCCAAGTCCTATCAGTTCTCTTTCATAAAACTTCTTCTTAACCTAACTAAAAAAACAGAGATTCAGAGCCAAAAACTCATCCTTCCTAGAGTTTCTTATATTCCTCCCTATATTCCATTTCCACTGAATGAACTAGTTCAGGCTCTACTCACCTCTCTCAGAACTGCTACAAAAGATTTCTAAATAGTTTCCATTTTTCTTTCCAACCTATCTTGAAAATTTCCACCAATTCACTTTCCTAACACTGCTTTCATTATTCCATGCCTCAGTTCAATCATTTTTGATGGCTTCCCAATGCTGAAAGCAATAATTTAGGAAAAGGATGATAAATAATGAAATAAAATATTTTGGAAACAACAACAAAAACATTTTTTGCCTCGTAATTTAAACTGCCAAGTGCAAGGGCAACTGTGGATGGCAGAACAGGAATAAAAGCAGGATGATAAAACCCTAAATCCTTAATTTGGCATTCGACACCCTTCAGAATCCACATCTACCACACATTTTACTGGATTAAAGAACATGTGCAGAGACCAGCTCAACGCCATCCTTAATGAACAGTTTGCATTTCTCAATTCAAACTTCCATCCAGTTTCCCTTGCATATTCTCAAAGCCTAGGTTAAACAACCATCATTTTAACCTGAAGCCAATGTTTCTCCATGAAAAAGTCAGCAGGGGAGAGACTTCAGTCGCACTTTCAGTTACTGCACTGCAATTGGGGATGCTCCAAGTACTGACACAACAGCAAACAGCAAAATTACAATTTCTCAAATAAGGGCAATCAGCATTTACTCAAGAAGAGGTTAAACAACAATATGAAATACACAAGTGGCTGGGACCTACCATATGCAGCAACATAAACCGTCCTCCAGTCAGACCGATCTGTTTCTAACTATGCTCTGCACATTTCTCACCTCTGTCTTTACTCACAGCCATCCTTTTAGTTTCTCTCAATCTTCAAAAGTGTATTTCTGCTCCAAAACCCCAATATAATTAAGGAGCACATTTCTAAAATAAACAATCTTTCAAAAAGCAAAATTTTTTACCATGGCCTATTAGAGACCTCAAATGACCTAAGTGTAGTCTACCACCCCACCCTCACCTTAACACCCACCACTTTCTCCTTAGCTTTCTCACTAGTCTTCTCACACATACACTACTGCCTCAGGGCCTTTGCCTCCCAGAAGCTTCTTGGAAATTTTTTTTATATCTGCAGCTTAAATCTCACCTCCTCAGAAAGGCCTTTCTCAGTGCCACCCTATCTAAAAAGATTCCCACACATCTCAATCATTTTCCACATCATCCTTCCTATGCTGCTCATAACACTTAACACTACTCTCAGTTCCTTAATCAGGTGTTTATCATCTGTACTCCCCTCATGGGGAACACATCTGTCTTGCTGATTGCTCTATCTTCCTAGCCTAGAATAGTGCCTCTTTATAGGTAATCAATAACCAGGTGCAGGAAAGAACTGTTAAGAAAGCCAGACTCAGTGACATGGTTTAACTATCTGTGGCCATAATCACAATGTTCCTTTATGTCCTAAAAGAACTAAAGTTTCTAGATAAGTAACATCAATACAGAATTAGGAAACCATATAAAGATAGAATCGCTAAGTGACGCAATATTCTCTCTCCTTTGTCTTCCAAAGTTAGTATTCCAAAAGTCAAAATACAGAAAGAATGCTGTCACCTCCTGATTCTTCAAGGTTCAAAGCACAGAACTCTTTTGTTTCCACATAGGAATACAATATGAAAAATTAGTTTGCTTTTCTTAATCATTAAATTTATCATTTGTGAAAGTCTTATTACTTGATATTTTTCCACCTCACTTTAGTTTCTTGAAAATGTGTTTTTACTGATAAAAAGGAAAACTTGAGTTACTTCTCACATTCTAATTATCTGTAGTGTAGTGACTAATGTTTTAAATAATGCTCTGGGGAATGTCAATATCACTATTGACTTATTTTCTTCCTTGTGGAGCAAGAGTAAACTGAAGAAAAAAAAATTCTTCCATGATCTCCCACTGAGTATCTTTTTCTAGAAAAACAATCGTTTCTAAAATCCTACAAGGCTATGACAATTTCTCAACAGGCTGTTAAACTATCTGATTCTTGATCTCTGCCTTTTTACACATAAAGGTCCTACTACTAGTGGGACGCTTTCTGTCCCCAAATTAACAAGCTACTTGTTAATAAGTTAATTAACGTGTCTAATAGGATGAATTCTCAACCTCTAACAAACTTTTTTCTCTTCCAGAATAAACAATTTCCCAAAATTAAAAGGATAATAAAACAATTTTTCCTAATAATAGTAATAACAAACAATCAGGTGCTGGTAAATGAAAAGATTTGAAAACTACTTACGGACAATGCAAATCTGTCTCTGCAGCCCTAAAATATATTACTTCAACGAAACAGTATTTCTAACCAACGGATGAAAACGTCTGTCTCAAAACATTTCATGAAGTCCCATGGTAAATCTACCACAAGTTCAACTGTCCTCTTCCCGCCGGGGAATCCACAGGTTTCCCCTTCTTTGGGAATGTCAACCATTTTGCCTTTTCCTTTTATCTCTACGATTCAATTACAATGCATTAAGAAGCTAAACCTGTGCATCCTGACAGCTATTCCCCTCCTTCTGCGGCAGAGCTCCCGGCAGAACTGCGCCCCCTTGGAACAGGGTGCCCAGGTCCCATTTCCCCGGCTCCGTTAAGCCGGTGGTAAATAGCCACATCACAACCCGGGTAAACTGGGCGGTGGCAGGACCTCGCCAAAACTCCGCTCCCCAATCCTCCACGCGTCACACCACTGGAGGCGCTCTCCCTTCACTGCAGTCAGGTCAATGTGGACGTTTTCCACTGGACCGGCTCCCCACGAGCGCGGGGCTGGGGCGGGGGACATGAAGAGCATGGGGCCACCCAAGCCAAGGAATGGGTGAGGAGAAGGGCCAGGGCTGAATGCAGGCAAAGACCAGAAAGAAACTGCGTCTTTTCCCCAGGAGCAACCTAGTCGGGCAGACAAAAGATTAGGGCGCCAAGGCCTTCCATCCTCCCCCCGGAACCAAGGCAGCCCGATGAATCCACACCCCTAGTTCCCTCATTACAGACCCAGCTCCTGCCAGGGGTGGGTTCCTAACTTCCCCGACGCGGTGGAATGGCGAGCAGACAGAACAACCCGGGAGCGGTCGGGGTGCACGTGCTCCCCGATACCCAGACGGACAATAAAGAGTAAGCCCGGGCTTCCTCTGCCGCCCCACCCTGCTCCCCGCGGCTCCCACCAGCGGGGGCGCCTTCGCCCAAAGATCTGCAGACAAAGCCCCCTCCGGGTGGAGAGAAGGGCAGGGTCCAGGCTTTACGGGCTGCGCACAAAAGAGGGAGGGGCGCGAGGGGCGGCGCGAGGCGGAGGGCGCGGCACTCACCCACTGAGCCCGAGGAGCCCCTGCGTTTGGGCGCGGCCGGCGTGGAGGGGGGCGCGGCGGGGGCTGGGGCAGCCGGGGTCCACGCGGGCTCGGCCTGAGGGCTCACGTCGGCCGGTGGAGGAGGGGGAGGCCGGGCCGGAGGCTCCTCGTCCTCAGAGAGCTTGGAGGGCGAGTCTGCTGTAACGGGGGGTGGGGAGGGCGCGGGCACCGCCGACGACACGGGGCTCGGGTCCCAAGACGGCTGCCGCTCCGGAGCGGCGAGGGGCGCGGCCGGCAGGGGCCCCCGGGGCGCCGGGGGCACGAAATCATTGCCGAAGTCCAGCAGGGGCGCACGAGCCGGGGTGGCGGCGGCGGCGGCGGCCACCGGGGCCGCCGACAGCGCGGCGGCGGGCTTCCGCTCTAGCACCTCCAGCTCCTCCAGGTCCTCGTCCTCGTCCTCGTCTTCCTCCTCCTCCTCCTCTTCCTCTTCTTCCTCGGGCTCCTTCACGAACTGGTACTTGAACGCGGGCTGAGGCCGAGGCGGGCTGTCCGAGGACGAGGAGACCAGAGGCGACTGGTCCATGTCTTCCATGGCTGGCAGGTCGGAGGTGATGCTGCAGCTGCTGCGTCCGCGGGAGAAGCTTCTTCTCAGAGCCGCGGGCGGTTGTGGGGGGTGGGGAAGACTGAGAGGGGCAGGGCCCTACGAGCCGAGGGACCTGCAGTGGCGACAGCTCCCGGAACAATGAGACTGCTCCTCCAGCCTCCGCGCCCGTGATGCGCCACCCGCCCCGTCCCCAGTTGCCGCCGCCGCCGCCCAGATGAGGGAAGGAGAGAGGCCAGCCGACGCTCCGCCCAGTTTGGCGTGACTCACCCTCCCAGCCAGGGAGAGGCAGGCACTAACGCGGGAGGAGCGAGCCAATCGGCGAAGAAATAGAGTTGACGGGCAACCAGTCGGCCCAACAGAAAAGGAAAAAGACGAAAGTGGGTGGGTCTCACTGCACTTCCTCTCTCTTACCGGCCCGGGTGCGTTCGATGGGCGGGGTTTGGAGCTGGGAACCCCACCGACTGCTTAGGGTAGTTGCGGGTCCGGCTGGGGTCTTGGTCTTGGCCTTGGCAAGCTGGAGTATTTGTGTTTACTGCAGTGGGGAAACGAACCCGCTCCCTCCCAGCCCTGAGGGGTCGGAGACGTTCCTGGCACGCCACCGGAAGGGCGTTATCTTGGAGACTGGGAGTGGAAACTTTCCTCCCAGGAAAGGAAAAAAACCCAGAGCGCAGAAAGGTTCTGAATAACGGTACTGTGGAGTAGGCCTTAAGGATTGAAGCAAACGTTAAATTTTAGATTTTTAAATTTTAGTGATGGTACTATCATCACCACCTTAAAAGAAAAAATATTTTTTTACAGGTTTAAAGTCACTCCCAGTCTTAACTGCAGACCCTGGATGAGGTCGGCAAAACAACTGGGCTGGACGATATAGGACTGACTGGAACAGACCATTTGATGAAAGTCTGTACTTCTTCAAAGAGGGCTTTGGGATCTGCCCGCTGCTGAACTTAATTGGTAGAAGGATGAGTCACCCAAAAGAGGGAGGGGAGAGAGGAAAGGGGAAAGAGAAGGATGCCTTGGAAGGCAAATTTGATTCACATTGCATTTCAGTCACCTTAGGCTCATGAGTCAACATTCTGGATGATTCAGGCTTTCTGGGAGTCAGGATACATACATAACTCATTTCTTCGATATGCCAAAATGAGTATAATCCCCATTCCACTTTTTCCAGAACTGGAGAGTTTAAAGAAAGTGATTATAGAACATTTAAGTATCAGCACCCAGAGGTTTAGAGAGCACTATTTGTCTTTCTGGTGTATTGAATACCTTCCAAAAGTATCCCCTTCCTGTCTAATCTAGAGACCCTGGAGAGAGGAGGATAGCTTGCTTTCCAGTTGCTCTCAGCCTAAGACTGCACTATTCAAGTCCTTAGTCACTGGCTGCTCCTGGCTACTGAGCACTTGAAATAGGAGTCGTTTGAAATGAGATGTTTAAGTTTGAAATGCATACTATATTTTGAGAGTACCAAAAAAATTAAGTACCTCAATTTTTATAGTGGTTATATTGGAATTGATAATATTTTGGATATATTGGGATAAGTGTAATATATTAATTTTACTTGTTCTTTTTAATACTGCATCTAGAAATTTTTAAACATATATGTGGCTTATATTTTATTTCTGTTTGACAGTGCTAGTCTAAATTGATGATTAAGAAATCTTGATTGCCATGGATAATCATGGATTACTTGAGCAAATTCTTAGCTTCAACTATACCACCTTCAATTGGGGTAATTAAAAAGGAAAAGTGAGGACTGGGGGGAGGGAGGAGGGAGACACAGGGGGAACACAGATTTTTAGGGTAGTGAAACTATTGTGTATGACACTGTCATGATGGATACATGACATACATTTGACAAAACTCAGAACTGTTCAAAGAGGGAATCCTAATGTAAACTGTGGGCTTCAGTGAGTAATATAACCAATATTGGTTCATCAGTTGTAACAAGCCTACCACACCAATGCAAGATGGTAGTTATAGGAGAAACTGGTTGGGAGGTAGACATGGGAATGTATAAGAACTCCCTTTTCTGTAAATGGGAAACAAAGAAAGTTTAATTTTTAAAGAAAGCAAAGGTAGAATAAGATTTCCTGGCATTGTTACCTGATCAGGTTAGTTATCAACAGTACATTCAAGACCTAGCTTAATATTCCCACAGAGATGAACTTTAGCTTTATTTTTAGAAACCTGTTGTGAGTTGATTGGAGTTTGTTTGTTTGTTTTTAGAAGAATTGGGAAGAGTAGGAAGAGAGAGATATTAGTGTAGAATTTGGGGACAGGAGATTTAATGCCAAACTAAAAATTTTAAAACAGATTCCTCAATAATAACTAAACATATTTTAAGTATTTGTCAAATATTTGTCAAAAATTGTCAAAAACATACATGATTTTTCAGCTAAGTACATACACATACAAAAATACACTGGCACAATTCTTTGGTGTGAAGTTTTCTATTAAATCACAATTTAGCCATCAGTTCAGTCTCCACAATACTATTTTTCCCTACTGTGATTGTTCTGAAACACCTTAATGGAAAGTTCCACAGGGTTTTTATTTATTAATTATAAGTTATCTATGTGATATTTCTGCATTCATATATCTGTGTATCTGCTATTACTAAAATAATCACAAAGGAATATCTGTAGTTTATTAAAATTGCCATAAAAGAATCATTACAGAAAAGTGGTAGATCTACAACTTTAATAGTTAATAACATTAAATATCAAGGCGATAATATAAGCACTCTGATCTTCTGCATCACTTCTGATGCAGAAGAAAAATAAGAATTTTATATTATTATCTCAGTGACTTCTAAAACATTAAGTATTAGATGGATGAAAAAAAATAAAGAATTTATCCAGTTTTCATAGAATGGTCAACAGAGCATAAGAAAAGGAGAATGTTGCTAGTAAACACCAGAATTCAAAGTAGAGTTAGTGCCTATTAGTTGTAAATACCACTCTCACTAACAAGAGCATTCTGGTAGGTATTTGAAATGGAAGGAAGGAAGAAATGGAATTTCTTGAAATGGAATTAAAGGAAGACTATCGGAGAAGGCGATGGCACCCCACTCCAGTACTCTTGCCTGGAAAATCCCATGGACTGAGGAGCCTGGTAGGCTGCAGTCCATGGGGTCGCTAAGAGTCAGACACGACTGAGCAACTTCCCTTTCACTTTTCACTTTCATGCACTGGAGAAGGAAATAGCAAACCCACTCCAGTGTTCTTGCCTGGAGAATCCCAGGGATGGGGGAGCCTGGTGGGCTGCCATCTATGGGGTCGCACAGAGTCGGACACGACTGAAGCGACTTAGCAGCAGCACCAAAGGAAGACTATAAATTCTAGATCATAGTAATAATTATTCAATGAATTATCTTTGAAATTATCTTACCAGATGTAGGAGATTGAAGTTTCCAATTACAATGGGTTAGTAACTGTTCTCTATTAGAACATAAGAGATCCATTCAGGCTGGTGGAATCTCAGAGTTGGAGGGACTCTGGGAGATCAGCTTGACCAATCTTTCTCCCATTACAAGAATTCCATACAAATGGTATTTTAAACTTGGCCATCTATGGTAGATTAAAAATGGCTACAAAATCTGCAACAACACCACTCATCAAGAGGTCGGGTCGATTTCCTCATCTCTGGATCTGGGCTTGTGACTTTTTTTTCCAATAAAATACACTGGAAATGAGTTCCCAAGCCTAACCAGCAGAGGTATTACAGCTCCCACTGTCACTCTCTCGGAATGCTGAGAGACCTGGAGAGAAAGACTTTAATTGTCCCAGCCAAAGAGCTCATGTCCCAGAAATATGAGACCATCTCAGACTGTTCAGCCAACAGAATCATGAAAAATAATGAATCACTGTTTTAAACTGTCACCTTTTGGCATGGTTCATTACACAGCAAAAGCTAACTTAAACATCAGCCATTTTGTGCCTCCATTATGTGTTATTCATTCATTCACACACACACACACACACGCACACACACATATATATGCATACACACACTACATATACATATATAGTGTTTACTGTGCACCAAGCACTGGTCAAGACTGAACCATGGCACTGAACATATCAGACACAAATGTGCATGAACATTTTCAGTAAAGGGAGAATCATTACTTAGGGAAATAGCCCAGTCCATTTCTGTAGTAGTATGCCTTATCGGGGCTTCCTTGGTGGCTCAAATGGTAAAGAATCTGCCTGCATTGCAGGAGACCTGGATTTGGTCCCTGGGTCAGTAAGATTCCTTGGAGAAGGGAATGGCAACTCACTCCAGTATTTTTGCCTGGAGAATCCCATGGACAGAGGAGCCTGGCGGGCTACAGTCCATGGGCTCACAAAGAGTTGGACATGACAGCAAGTAACGCTTTACTTTACCTATAACTTATTGGAGAGTGTTGAATTGACACCTAATTTGGTATACATATATGGAACAGGTTAATTGTCCCTGCATCACGTATGCTCCTTGAGAGAGTTAGAAGTGTTGGATTGGTGTACTCTTATCTACATACTGCAGTATGTAAACTAGACAGTAAGTTCAATAACCATGGGAGAAAGATGAAAGGTAGGTTCCTGACAGATCTGTTTCAAGAAGTTGGGCATCACAGCTTTTTTGCCTATGAGAATGACTTGCTTGTGTTCAAGAGCACCAATGAATTACATTCAACCATTGTACTAAAAAAAGACTGTAAAAAATAAATAAATAAAAAATAAAAAAAATTTAAAAAGACTGTAACATCATTTTGGCACTCTTCTGGGAAAAATTAACAACTAGCTATGTCATTGTCCCTACCATTTTGCTGGCATTTTAGATCTTCTGAAATGTATCATTTTATGTAATGCAGTTCATGGTTCTGGTTAACATCTTACATCTAAATTTATCATAATAAGAATAGATATATAAATAGTATAAGATCAATGCTGGCAATGCACTGTCAATTAGTGTTGGACCTAAAATTAAAATTTCAAAGAGAAATG